CTTAACTATATATATATATATATATATATATATATATATATATATATATATATATATATATATATGTATAAATTATATATATTTGTATGTAACTTACAATACAATACATGTATGTATATTCAGTATATCTCTTATATACTTTTTTTGTTTTTTTTTTTAACAATTGCTCTTTATTTGTAATATCATCATCATGTTTGTTCTATCATTTGGATCCTCCTCCTTCTATTTGTAAATCTTTTTGCTCCTCCGGGGGCCCAAATTGGATTAATAAAATCTTGTATCTTGTATCTTGTATATAAGAGGAGTTGCGGATAACAAATTGAAACCCTAAAGCGTAACAGACGGACGGACGGGCGTCCCGATCATTGTATACCCTCCCGCTTTTCAAGCGGAGGATATAATAATATATTAAGCTGATGATTTTTTCTGTCAGTACTAAGATTTCCACCATCGAAAAACAATGTTTACCCAACCCGTTAGGCTCGATACTCCTTTAGATTCTGAACTATTGCATTGCCCTTAAATATAGCTTTAATCGTATGTTATGTATGTTATGAGATCAACATATCATCAATTTAGTCCAAATAAGCTCAGCTGAGCATTTTTGCTAATATGTGTCTTTTTTTGGCCCCCTAAAATTTCAGATTTAATCCTCAGGGAGTCATTTTTCTATGGGGGTCATTTTTCTTCACGTGGGTTCTTCAAATTCTTAGGGTGGTGACACTTTTTCTACGGGCAAAATGGTCATTTTTCTACGTCGAATTATGACCAGAGGTCATTTTTCGCTGTCGAAAAATGACCCCCAGTCATTATTCGATGGGGGTCATTATTCGTATTTACACTCTTTTCTGTTTCTTTTTTCTAAGGATAACGTGGACGATATAACATTTACAAGTAACAAACAGCAGTGAAGATAGAAAAGAAATATTTTATATTACCAATGTTTTAATAATCCACTTTCGATTTTTTAAAAAATAAAATTCAAACATTTTGGAGTTTTCTAACTATATACTATGCGGGTACATGAAAGAGTTTAACGCGTGACCTCGTAATTGTTTTCAAAAGATTATCAGAAAGCACAGGTAGATTACCTGTCAATCAGATCAGAAGCTATTGTTTTTTATGATTGACAGGCGGTAAAGTATTTATCTTGAATCAGGTAGATTTTGGTGGGGTTAACATAAAATTGGGTGTTTGAACAGTGATTTTTCATTGGTTACTAAGTTAAGCAACCCAAAAGTGAAAGTAAAGTCATGGCGTTGAAAAAATCACAACAGGAGATTCTGGATAAGGCTAAAGTATAATAAGTACCTAATAATATATTATGTTTAAAAATGTTACCAATTATATTTCACTTGCAGATGATTTTAATTTCATAAAAAAAAAATCCGTAACCGACAAACATGAAGTGAATGTAGCTTATACAGTGTTATAGTTTGTCTAAATATGATTCCAGCTGATAGTCGATGAATAAACAAGCATTTTACGAGAAAAGATCTTAATAGAAGACGTCAGCAATGCAGAAAAATATCTCTTGGAACGATTCAAACTATGTCAAGATAATGTAGATGTATAATTGATTTTTTGTAAATACGAGCTTGAAGCGGGGTTGCCCGAAAATGAGTTAGGTACCTTGTGGTTAATATAGGTAGGGAGTACGCCGAATATGAAACAAGTACCTGTGGGTTGGAAAGAGAAAGAATTACTTATGTCCGCCACAAGTATGGTAGTAGAAGGGAATAAAAACAACAGAAATGCATCTGAATTGGCGAGAACATTAGGAATACCTAGGTCAACAATACGTAGTATTGTTAAAAAGTTTGTTGAAACGGGACAGGTAGAAAATCGAGGAGGAAGAGGGGGGAAGAAGCCAATAACAACATAATTATTACATCTTGGCCTGTCCAGTCTCCTGATCTGAATATTATCGAGAATATTTGGTGAAAATATAAAAAGGAACCCTGGAAACCTCAATCTCTACCCAGAGTTATCTTTCCACTTATGTATTGTAGCGAAGCGAACGATAACTCTGGGTAGGGATTGTAGAAACCTTTGCCAAATTCATTAACACAAAAGATCAGCTGATGGCGGAAATTCAGACTGCCTTGGAAAATATACCAACCTCCGACATTGCGGACCTGTATAAGACCCTTCCCGGCAGACAAAATGAAGTACTAAAGATGAAAGGCAATTTATGAAAGGTAATTTAACATAGTATTGTGGTAAGTTGGACATTTATTGTTTTCAAAAAAAAAAATAAAACCTAAAAACCAAGGAGCACGATGTAAAAATTTCGGCATCCATTTTAAAGTGTCGAGTAATTTTGTCCCTTGGCTGCATTTGGATATTCCTTTTAAGAAATATGTAGTAGCCAGGAGACATAGATATCAAAATATACATGTATGGATGCAATACTATCACTGAATCAAGCTAAGGTTAATCACTATTTTCCTGCTGACTCATTATTATGTTCCCCAAACGAAGTTGGGGAACATATTGTTTTTACTCTGTTTCTTATTATTATTATTATTATTATTATTATTTTTCTTCTTCCTGGGAAAATTTTGTCCACGAGTGATCTTGTAAACTACACATCCGACTTAGGTGAAACCTTTTTAGGGTTAGTAGGCATGTTATGTAGAGTTGCCAAACAAAGGTCATTTTGCGCGCACGTGCTTGCAAGAGCACGCACGTGCATTAGGTGAAATTACCAATATAATGAATATTGCCGTTACTTTTCTATTTTTTGATGAAATTTTTTGAAACTCATAATGTAAGGATACATTAGTAGTATAGACAAGATAGCATGGTCAAAATAGCAAGATTTCACGCGCATGCACGTGCGCTTTGCTCTGATTGGCTGAAACTAAAGTATCAATAACTTTCTTGTTTCTTGTCATAATCCTGTGAAATTTTGAACATAGTCCTACATTATAATGATCTACCGCATGATATATGAAAATTTCATGAAAGCATGCGCATGTGCGTGTGCTGCAAGCTGATTGGCTGAAACTTTAAATGACTATATCTCCTTTGTTTTTTGACGAAATTCTTTGAAACTTAAAATATAGTCATGCATTGGGATATCCTACAAAATGATGTAGAAAAAAAAAATCATGAAATCACGCGCATGCACGTGAGCTGCAATTTGATTGGCTGAAACTTTAAATTGCTATTTCTCCTTTGTTTTTTTGACGAAATTCTTTGAAATTTAAAATATAGTCATGCATTAGGATATCCTACAAAATGATATTAAAAAAATCATGAAATTACGCGCATGCACGTGTGCTGCAATCTGATTGGCTGAAACTTTAAATGGCTATAACTCCCTTGTTTTTCAACCAAACAGGATGGGATTTAGAACATAGATAGATGTAAGGGACTCCTACAAAAAGGTATGATCATCATGCACGTGCACGCACGTGCGTGCATTTGAAACGAGTATATTTTAAAATACTCTTGAAAGACAAGATGATATGGTCATAACGCACATGCATTCACATGCGCTTGGGTGCAATGCTAAAAATTGAATATAATTAGTATCCTTCTGGAAAAACGTTGTTAAAGTCAAAAATGCACAGAGTTTGTCTTATTTAATGAAACTTACAGGGAATATGGCACCGAAAGGGAGTTGGGGAGCGTTTGGGGAACATCTGTAACGGTTCCCGTTACAATTAGCACTAGTTTAAATTGTAACTAAAGGTCATACTATTTCAATGTATGCCTAAAACATGTTTTAATACAATCAAATTTTCCTCAGCAAGCACTATATTTCAATCGAGCGTTGTAAATGTCAACAAAATAATCAATGTTACTTATTTCGACTGAAACTTTATTTACAAAACTATTAATGTAATTAGACAATTCATGATATAAAAATAAATCCAAAATTTTCATCAACCACTGAAATATAGCGACTTAGTACACACTCTGTTTGAATATGATAACTAAATTCCGACTTGACTCAAACATCCGTTTCTCAACATGTGAGAGGCGAATGATGTTATATCCTAAACAGGGCAGAGATTTGATAGTGACGCATATTGTGAGAGGTACATATATAGCTGTAGTTTCTTCCTTATAGATAAACGTCAGTCTCACCTTGTTAATTGACTTCCTTAATTTATACAAATTACATACATTGTCATACAGTATGCCTCATTGATCAATTTTGAATCCGCCTTTGGATATATAATCATGCATTTTTTTTTATTTCGAGTAACGTTAACATAGTTGTCCAATGTCCATTTCCAGAGTAAAGTTAAAACATACTGTCCATTTCGTAAGCAAAATCTTACCATTATTTAATTTTAACCTTTTATTAAATTGTTTTCAAATAAATGTGTTTTTTTTTCGAGGCTTGGATTGTACTTCAACTTTAGTAATGTCAAAACGTAGTGAAAAGAAATGTGCCCCTTCTAGAAAAGCAAATTTTATACGTTATGTTTACTACTATACAGCATGGTTAGCAAAATAATAATAATGTATTTATATAAATTGCATGTATCAAACTTCCTGTATTAAAAATAGTCTTCTATTGTTTATAACATGTTTTTTGAAAAAAAAAAATAATTGTGCGCTTCAGTATATACGCCACCTTACTTAGTTTATTGTTTGAAACATATCAATCAATCTATATTTACGTTACTAAAACCATCTTGTTTTTAATTTTCTTATGCAATGACCATATTTATCTTCAAAAAAGATTTGGAAATTTCAGTTTCCTTCACATTTTCCTTACAGTGTGAATATTATATTACCTTATGCATTTGTATTTATACTACATCCACTGAATAAGTTCTCCTTTATTTCTTGAGAAAACCTATTGCGTTTATCACTGCATGAACATTAGGCATGTCGCCTGTACAGATTTCTTGATCAGTGGCTTATCCATCAATAACCAGAATTAGCGGGTTATGTATTTTTTCTGTAACAGCTGCGACCGTTAAATTCCTAAAATAACCAACAAATAAAGCATTTCATTCTTTAAATATACTTACCACCAGCATCACAGACAAGGTATTTGATTCCTTTCCTACATGATATGGAACTAGAAGCAAAGGTGCGTCTAATGGAAGAAAAATTTGTGTAAATTGCAGCTGCCTCCGGCTCCAGAGCTATTGTAAGTCTTTCTTTAGCGATTCCGGCCTGAATTTAAAACGGTATGTAAGTATGTAACTAGTTTTTTCTTGAATAAGGCTTCTATTTAAGCATTGAATTCATATTTTGGGATGTCTTCGGTCCTATAACACACCTGGTTGTGCCGACAAATTAAATATCGCTCGATAGCGCGGTTTGAAAATTTGTCGACACGGTCAGGTGTGTTATAGGACAGAAAACATCCCAAAATATGAATTCAATTATACTTATGTTTACATTCTTTAATTTGTCTTCTTCATAATTTTTTTATTTCGGTAATATTGAATGTGAATTTAGCGCCCTTCCAAACTGATGTGCTATATAGACGTAACAGCTGTTTGTAACGTCGTAAAGTTAAAAACGCAAACGAACATTGCGAGGGGAAAAAGTGAAAAATTAATTTTAAATGCACATTTGTTGTACTTTAACGTTAATTCAACACAGTTATTTATTTTTTTAATTAAATTATGTCAAACAATGTACATTTTGGTGTTCATAAAGTATTGAAAATGCGTATAGTTCCTACTGTGTATTCTAATGCGCGGTGACAAGATTTCTCGCTCGTAGAACGTTTTGAACGTCATGGATTTCTAATTGACTTTATGAAGAAAACACTGAATGTAAATATAGAGCTTTGAACGTCGAGGATTTCTAATGGATTTCATAAAGAAAATTACACTGAATGTAAATATTTTTTTTTTCAAAAAACCAAAACAATAAATAATTATAAAAAAATAATTCTCTTTTTATCACTTATTTTTATTTTTTTTTTGTTGTTCATAAATATTGAACTGAGGACATTTGAAGTCTGTTCAGAGAAAAAAAAAGATTTCGTTTAAACGCAATAATTATTGTGTGATAATTGCGGTTTAATACAACTGATTGCAACTTACATCGCGTTCAAAGGATACAATGTTTGCATTTGCATTTAAACACAATAATAAATGCGTTGTATTAATTTTGCATTTATACATGTACACAATATTCTTTTGTGTTGAGACGTGATGTACATTGTACGTGTGTTATTATCAATCATTGAATAGCACAATGGACCAATGTATTCCGATATCTTTTTTTCCTCAGATTTACTTATTAGGAAGTTGTGCATTGGCGAATTTCATAGAATCGGATTCTTCTGAGCAAACGCTCTATTAAAAAAAATCTTTGTTGTGAATTTATTAAGTAGAATGACGTGTTATAACAAAGGCAACATAAGAAAAAGTCATGGTTTAGGTATAATACAAGTTGCTGTCCTTTAAAAAAGGACAAGAAAGAATTACTGGGTTTGAAGGCCAAGGTTATTGTTTTTAAAGAAATGAGTACTGCGTACAAAAACATTATTGCATTTAAACGTAAAATGCGTTACGCGACAAATCAGCGTTTAAAATCAAAGCTAAAATCTTAAACCCAGTCGTTTGCAGTTAAGCTCAAAGTATTTTACCTTTTAATTAACGCAAGGGATATTTCGAATAAACCTTGAATATTTCAATTGCTTTTCAAGACAAATTCAATAAAGTTTCACAATTTTTTGTGTCTAAAAGCAAATATCATTGCAATTGAATGCAATGTTTTAAGACCATAAAAATATTTCTTATCCTGAAAAGGCTTCCACGATCCTTGGAATTTGTAGAAAATATAAATAAATCTTTAAGATTTTAGAAAACTGGACAGTTGAGAATATTATATACCTCTATGGCACAGCGACGCATGAATGATTTTGATGAGTCTGTCCATATTGCTGGAACAGTTATAACCCATCTCAATCCATAATCGTGGACGTTAAGGTTTTTTAACATCATATCTTCCATCATTTTATTTTTAAGGTAGCTGATAACTGCAGAAAACACTGTCAATGCAGGAAGTGATTCTCCGTTCTCTGACTTGATAAACAGATTTTCATCGAGAGTCTGAAAGGAATTTTGTCATACATGTATAACCTTAGACATATACAAATCGAAATTGGCCCTATTGATTTATTAATAGTTATACTAGATCTGTTCAATACATATATGATTTTAAGCTAGACTTTCTCTCATGATTGAATCCTTAATGAATTAATATCAGTTCAGATGACCAAATTTCAGCTGATCTTTTCATTTCCATTTCTGAAAAAGGGTTATTCGAGACAATGCATTAAAATGAATGGTAAGGAATCGTAAAATAGTGAAATTAAATGCTTCATTAGAGATGCCGTAAAACTTGGTAAGAGTCCCCAAAAAAGATTCTCAGAAATTTGTAATATTTACAGCAGCCAATATCTTTTTAATAGACACTTGAGCAGGTGGACGTCAATGAACAATAAGGACATAATGGGTATCAAACTTTTGTACTGTCTTTGGTGACAAGAATTTTTTATAACCAATTTTCTGTTTGCCAAAATTTAACAAATTATCAATTATGATGATTGATTTTTTTTTTACTTTTTACACATTGCTAATTTGATAAGCAACAATTAAAGGGTTATTAACACTATTTCAAAGAAACATTTAACAGTATTAAAGTTCAGTATTCAATCGGCATCCTCTGTTTTGAAGTAAAATGAATGAAGACAAAAGCGTGTAGGAATATCTTAACAATAGATTTAAACAAATCAGAAATTGTTCTTATCTACGTTTGTTTGAAATTAAAACAGATAAAAAAAACGTGAATCCGTTGTTCTAAACCCTAAAAAAATACAATAAGACGCACTTACATGTAACAAAACAGCAAAGGTCTGAAAATTGCATAGAATTAACAGAGGACAGAGACAGTTGTTTGTCATTTCTTAAATATAAGTTGTCTTATAAATCAACGTTCTTTTTCGGGAAGGCAGTTCAATTTCTGGAGAAGTCTAGAAAGATAATTTTTTGCAAAAAATAAAGGGTTTTTGAGAGGAAAAATTGGGAACCCTCTACATTAAATGTCTTCGTGGTAGCATCCAAACCCATACTTCCTTAAGAGTAAAGATGTTTTGTGGATAAATAAAGAGTTAATATTTTGATACAACAACATTGAGTTTTGTCCTCCGTTGACTTGATTCATTTCCAAACTTACAAAACACCTTCAGAAAGAAGAAACAAGTCCAGGAAATCATAAGATCTGCCATATTCATGTATATATTAATACACGAGGAGGCATACTCAAAATGAGTTTTAAAAACAATCAGACATTGGTTTTATAGGTAACGGACATGTTTTAATGAAAAGAGAATATCAAAATGAAACCATTGAAAAAAGCATTGAAAATTTATATTGCTAGGGGTTATAAACTAAGGAAGCTTACAAATGCATAAATCATTTGCGTCTGTCGTCATTTTTGATGTCTGTGTGCGGAAACTTTATTAAAATTAACATGAGGGGCCTAATTTAAATCCATTAGACAAACCCACAAAACAAATAGCAAATTTTTAGTGGCAGCGATGGGGTCAAATGATATTAAACCACTTGTATACTCGTATCATCGTATTAAAAGAACTATTTGCTTTTTAAAGACCTTTGTTTGAGAAAATTAAGTTTAGGTCTTAAATCGTGGACGACGTTGATAGGGAGATAAGTTAAACGAGAAAATTAAAGAGTTCTCAAGTGAGAGTTTGCATTTGAAGGAAAAAGAGAGACAAAAAGCATCGGCACCAATAACAAATAGATATTCTGGCATTGGTGTTACGGAAGAAATGAATTCTGATACAAGACGAGAGTTTGGAAGAGCGAGATCTAAAGTAAAGGTTGAGGCAGACCGAAACTGATTTTGGCTGCGTCAGTGACATAAAACATAGACCAGCTTCATGCCACACGCTATATTTTGGAACCCACAAAATTGTTCCAAGCAATGTAACAACAAGTTTAAATTTGACAGATTTGAAACACTTGCTGATCGGGACTGCATGGGAAAAAACAATCTAGTAAGTTGAAATCCGAAGCGTATGATGCAACTACTTAAGGAATCATTGTCTAGTTAGTATAGTATGCCAGGGCATACAAAGTCACATAATTATCCAATGATTCCCACTATCATGGATGTCTCTTGAATACTTTACTAACTAGAAAGTGATTCCTAATATTTTTTCATTTCATTGTGAAATAAGATTGTAGATATAGATTTTACAAATGTAGAATTACACGAGGACTCCAATGCCAATTACTATAGTCTTCGCCCACTGACGTCAAACACAAAGACAGCACGAGATTTACGTGCATATTTGGCATAGTTTGCATCAGACACATAGACAGATGCGCACGAAATTTCCATGAATATTAGCTCCTGACCTATCGACCTGCGAAATTTTAATTCCGGTAGAATATTCACAAAATCAATCCTCTACCTTTCAAAGAGTCATCACAGGGAAAAATAGAAATGGAAATATATCGTCGTTAGACTATTAGTCGCATTTTAATGCTTATGCTTCCTTGAATCATTGGTCTGAAGAAGAAAAGGGGGTGTATCTGACCGTGTCCTTAAAAGGTTTAGCCCAAGATGTGCTTGGAAACCTTTCAAAATATCTGAAAATGGATTTTAAAGAGTTCTCCAAGTCCCTGGAAGAAATGTTTTTCCCAGTTGATAAGACGGAACTTTACAGGCGCAACTTTGGGAGAGACGACAAAAATCGTCAGACACAATCCCGTAGCTATTTCCAGACATTACACGACGCACAGGTCTGGTATATCCAACAACTCCAGATGTACATAAAACCTTGGCGAAAGATTTTTTTTATCGATGCTCTTGTAAGTGTTGGCGAGCGCTTTAGAATTAAACAGTCACGTCTCTAAAATCTGAATGACGCCATTCAACACGCTGTAGAGTTTGCATTTGTTAAGGCAGAAGGCAGACAAAATGAAGATTGTGGTTTTGGTCGAGAATAGGAGGTGATAATACAATTCACGAGACTAAAAGAGGAAGTCTAAAAGACTCTATATAGTATATCAAGGGAATTCTGCGGAGTAAAAGACATATCCCAGATAGCAAGCTTACATTGAGCCGACGTTGGCATACATGTATATGATCATAGATCGGCTACGTATCACGGTTGGCAAAACAATATTGGTCCAACAACGGTCCGATATTGTCATTACAACAGTTGGTGCATTGTCATTGTTCCAACATCGGTCCGACATTGTAATTACACCAGACAAAGGGTTGATTTATTGACATTGTACCAACATCGGTCCCACATTGTCTTGACAACAATTGATGCATAGACATTGTTCCGATATCAGTGCGACATTTTTTTCTTAATGCTGATGTATGGACACCGTTGTAGTGTTGGTCCGATATTGTTGAACCGATGTCATTATGTAAACCTACATTAAAACATTTTTTATTCAAATTTATTTATTTATTTTATTTTGTATCTATTTCGTCTCGTATCCTGTTTTCGATCGTATTGTATTTTCGACTTTTTTTCCCAGTCTGTTTCCCTTTCAGATACCGCATGATATGATATGATCGGTTAATTACAAAGATTTTTTGATGCAATTTTTTTCCGACAGAATATTAAGATCTCTGTCAAAGAAACGCATGACTATTGAAATGAATGGGTGGATCAAACGAATTTTTTCTTCCTTAAAAGTGGGCACTTTTTTTTTACAGATTTTTACTGAAAATGCAATGTAAATTCATTGATTTTTTTACGGAAATGCACAGCTACTGACAGATGGGTTGAACCAACTATTAAATGTATTTGCAACCAAAATATGCAACCTTTAGTTTTTTTTTAAAAGACAGACCATAAAATTTTTATTTTTTGGAATATCCACTGGATATTTATAGCCAATACTGATTGGGCGTTGATACTATATTTAGGTCGAAAACACAACACGCTAATATTTTTGTAAGGAAAACTGCACCCTCTCCATATTTAAATAAAATAAACACAAAACTGCAATTTGGGTTATATCATTTTATTAACAGACAAATATACTAACATTTTTATCCCATATTTTTTAATATATAAAGTTTGCAATAAATTCATAAATAACATCTAGATAGGCCGAAAAAACAATACGCCAGGATTTTTTTTTATCAATTATTTAATCCTAATGTAAATTTTTAAAAACTGTGGAATATAACTTGGATTTTTCTCTAAAACTGTAGACTAATGATAGTACAATTGCATCGGGATCGAAGTCGGGCTCGATAAGCTATGAATTTATGCAATACACCGCGCTGAAATTTCACTCGGAGTTCCTCGGTTGACTCATACCTCGCTCATAACCTCGTTATAAGAACGTTATGCAGAGCGAAATATGAAATGAGTGAAAAGGCATTTTCCGGCGGAGAAATGTAAGGATGTGATGCGTATTCCTCCACTAATCACATCCGAGGTTTGAATGGAGTGTAGCGGAGTCACCCGAGGATTGCCGATTTCCGAAATTTAAATTATTTGGGGGTTCCTCGCAGCCATGTTGGTATTGTGCAGAAGGAACGTTCGGAAGAGAGTGTCACGAAGAGGAGAATCATGACTAGTTTTGGATATCTATTTTGACAGAAGATGAAGATATTTTACAACCCGGTAGGTACAATGTCAATATCTTATCACGTGCCCTTAAATGAATAATTGTTTCTTCTACTGTTCCTTAGTCAGGGCACAAACTGCCCAGCGGTAAAATCGTTTGGACAAGCGAAATTTAAAGATTGAAATAATTATTTAACACTTCTAAACATCTCTCATAAAGATGAATTTCAACCCGATTGGTTCAGAACTCTGGTGTAAAGAATTTTAGTGTTCATTTGTTCAACAGTCAACATATACAAAAGTATGTTGTACAATGAAAATATCATATTCATTTTTCAAATGCTTGTTCATGATCATTTTCAGCACTTATATTGATTATTTAATATTTGCAGTGGATTGTGCCTGAGACGATTCCCACAGCGCCATATATAGTAGTTTGATGAAAGTAGATATTGGTGCTAAGCCAATCAGTCACTCAGTCTGTGAAAATGGCGAGAACTAGCCAAATAAATCATCTTCTTGCATAAAATATTTTTTTTTTAAAATATTGCAACTATACCAAGTATTAAAATAAGCAAGAGGTTAATATTCCTAATTTCCTTGTTCTTACCGTGGTATAATACATACATGTAGCAATGAATTCTGACAGGAAATCTAAACATGCTATGGATTGGACAGCTATGCATAATTATTTTACATAAATATTTTAGCATAAATTATTATTATTATAAAATTATATAAAATAGCTATGATCTTCTAAGAAACACAATAATACATGTTTTTATATTTACAGGAATTCGTTTTTTTATTTCATGAAATACCTTTTTGTTGTAGAGTTCCATCTTGAAGCGGTGGACGAAAAACCATTCTTTGTGTTTGTTTTCGGATGCGAGCTGCATGAACTTGTCCTCAGCGGCAAACCCAAAGGAATGGAATTTCTTCTCTTCATCAAAAAGGACGCACGTTGATGTTTTAAGAGATTCCAAATTTCCAGAAGAAGCATTCCATGTTTTTGTAATAATTTCAGTGGGGTTTTCTTTGTAATTGTCTCTTGAAGAGAACGCATAACCAGAATATGTTGTTCCTATATCAATCGCTGCGACAAATAGATAGTCATCGCTCTGCAGTCTTTTGCTGAAAAGATGTGAAAATTGTATATATAAACATCACCAAAACTGCTGTCGATCAGTAATCTTTGTAAACAACACAAAATTTGAAATTTATTCTTGTACATACTATATTTGTTTCACTTTTTTTGTTAGCTTTCATTATTATGACATTCTGGTTATATTTTTTGTTTCGTGCAGAGGTTAAAGTGCTAACACATTTGTTGTGACCTCAAGATACTAAATGATTCAAAATTCAAATATGTTAAAATAGAAGGGCTTATCGCAAAGTTCGCAAAACATGTCAAACTTTGATATACTTTTTATCTAACCAGAGTGTTCCAATAAGTAAACGCATATGTTACCTGCTTTTTATTTCTTTAAAGATGTAACTAAATCTTAAAGTGGTCATCTATTAATATGCTACTAGTATATACAGTACTCCATGCAAAAAATGTAGCGTGATAGATCATAAATGCACAAAAACATCCACATGCAATAGATTCTTTCAATTAAAAATATGATTCTCAACCCTCATATGAATTATTAGGTTGAAATTATTATAAATAATTATATATCATGTTACATGTGTTAATACGTGTTTCAAAGTCTTGACACCAATTGACACCCAACACGATCACTCGGAGCTCCTCGAATGACTCGTACCACGCAGCGTTGCGGAGTTAGACGAGGACTGCCGATTGATACACGATTTGTTGTGGGATCCCGATCCCTGTATTTTTGAAATATTTAAATATCAGTTTGTCTAGTTACTAAATATTATACAGTTCCAAAGAACAGTATTATGAGCTCATAAACAGGTTAAAACATTATTATCAACATCCGCCACTCAATATTCAAAAGTCTTAAGTTAAACTAATTTGTCCAGGGTATTCTTTGTAGATCAAAGATCAAGGTCAAGTGAATTGTAACGTTGGTATTGTTCATGATGTTTTATGGCAATCAGTGCACATGCTAAATATCAGAATTACTCCTAAAATGTCAAAAACATATACTGTATATTGACACTTTAAACTTTTTAGAAAAGAAAGTTTATGGTAATTTCCAAATGGCATACTGCCAAGTAAATGTTCAAAAGATCAAGTCTCTTACAATTCTTGAGATTCAAGGTGTGACTTTAAACAGACGGACAGACAGATGCCGGGTAAAGTGATCCCTAAGTGCTGCTCTGCTTCGCAGACGACATGAAAATAAGCACCTTATCATATGTACATGTAAAACAAAATAATTCTGTTGATTTGTAATAAAAAAAAATCCAATGTGATTAAATAAAAAGCATTGGTCTTTATCTTATACGAAAATCTTTTACAACCATATTAGTTTTTAGTAGTAACAGGCCTGAGGTTTACATTATGGAAAATAGTACAAAAAACTTGTATGTCAAATAAAAATAAATAAAACATGCAAGCACTTTGGTTCTTCGGTTCGAGAAAGCACATGTTGCCCTCGAACTCAGTAAATAAATGTTAATGTTTACAGATGCTGCAACGTTATTGTTGACAAACCCTTCGTGTAGAATCGTTCGTGTATCGTGCGTGATCGTTCGTGTAACGTGCAAGATCGTGCGTGTATTAGACTCAATCGTTTGTGGTTCTAATCGTGCGTAATCGTACGTTCAGCTCGTGTCACACTGTCTCTATTTTTGGCTACGACAGAGTACGAGTTAAAAAATTGCAGTAATTCGGCGTTTATCGTAAACATCTTTATTCGTATTACATCGCAGCAAATCGCAAAATGTGGCGATTGCTTTGAGTATTTTCTAAACAATCGTGTTCACAGTACGAATTTTAATTATCCGTAAGCGATCATTCAGCAATTGCAATACATTCGTACACATAATTGTTGTAAATCTTCGACATTCGTAGAACACTCGAAGAAATTCGTAAAACTTCCGACTCTGCAAGTTTCCTACGATTTATCGCAAGTGTTCGACGATTTTTGCGAGTGTTTTTCGACTCAAAAGGAATGCCGTACGATTTCATGTGAATATGATACGAAAACAGATGATTGACAGCGAGTGCAATACAAGTACAGTGCGAGTGAATTGCGAAATAGTACGATTGTACGCATTTTGGAGATTTGGAAATCTCATCACATCAAATTCTGAAGATAGCAAAATGCTTACACAATAAATGAAATATATAGTTTTTGGCTCTTGGCGCATTGGAGCTAATAGGCTTTGCCAATATTTTGATTATAGTTGTTTTTACATTATGTTTATGGTTTTTATTTCATTTACCATGTATTGGACCTCTTCTTATTGTTACCTTTATTGAATCTGAAGTAAAGTTTTGCAGGCGTTGGTCAGTTACGACCTATTGTATAGAGGGTAAGATGTGTATTCTAAACGTTTTTCTTATTATAATTGTGTTAGGTTAGAATTACCGGTACTTTTTTATATCATGTACAATAGGTGCAACTGTAGTCAATGTTGACGTGTTATTTTTAGTATACTTAACTTGCAACTTAAAATATTATTTAATTTAAAGGCTCCAGAGATATTCCAGTGCTATTCCAGAGATATTCCGGCCTTATTCTATCTATTAGGACCATTTTGTGTGAACGCGTGGTACCAGCGTTACCTGGACCGGAAGCCCATGGCCACTGGGAGCCAGTTGGCGGGAGTCCGTCGTAAAACGGGAAGTGTCACGACGCAGTCGCGTGGTACATTGGAATTGATATGGACATACAAAGACTTTACTTGATATTTATTGTAGATAATTTTTGAAAAATATGTTGTAAATATTGGTTTTATTGATTTAATTTATAGATAAAAAATTGTAAATTGAAAAAAAAAATCTTGTTTTTACGGACTCAACAGAGCACGACGTCTGGCGTGACAAATTGGTGTCAGAAGTGGGATGATTAGTCTGTTCTGTCAGCAGTATATTTGCTATTTTTGCTTAATAATTTTTTGTTGTATTTTGCAGTCAAAGAGTTTGTAGCTTTTTGACAGTCACAGGATGTCAGTACTTGGTTTATTGTTGGAGCCCCAAATGGAGAAAGCTAGGTTACCGTTGAGTCCGTCGAGTTCGTTGAGTTCGTTGCGTTGCGTTGAGTTGCGTTGCTTTGTATGAATTGAGTTTGTGTACTAATTTTATCTGTTGAGATACTAGTATACAGATTTTTGAGAAAGATATTTTCACATTTCAGTTTTGTTTTGAAAATCAAAGTTGTTTTACTTGGTTCATATTTAGTCAATTTGTGTTTAGTTCTATTACAATGTCGACATTGAAAGAACTTGCAGAATATGGTCAGAGTCTAAACTTGACAGGTGTGGACTTGCAGCAGTTTATACAGCAACAACAGGCACATCAACGTGAGCTACGAGCAGCTGAACAGGAAAAACATAAACAGGATAAGGGAGTATCATCTCAGTAAAGAGGCACTTGAAATTGAGAAACTCAAACTCAAACTACAGGAAAAGAAAGGTAAGGAAAGAATGAGAGTAAATTCATGCAAACTATTCAAACCTTAAAGCAAAAGTTAGCTGTAAAGGAGTCAGAAACGAAATTAGAAAATTTTAGGAATGCAAAATTTGCAAAAATGCCTGTGTTTGGTGAAGTTGAGGATGATATTGATTCGTATTTGAGACGTTTTGAAAGGTATGCTGCAGCACAGAAATAAAAGTTGAACAGTTGGGCTGTTAACTTGAGCGCACTACTCAGAGGTCGAGCACTGGATGTGTATGCACTGTTGCCGCAGGAGAAAGTGTTGGACTATGATGATTCGAAGACAGCGTTACTAAAAAGGTTTGAAAAGACGGAGGACGGATTTCGTCAAAACTTCCGTAAGAGCAGACCTGACGAAGGGGAAACCTTTTCACAGTTTGATGTTCGTCTCGGTAGTTATCTTGATAGGTGGATCGAACTTGGTCGAGTTAACAAGACTTTTGATGGCCTCTTCGATATGATATTCAGAGATCAGTTTCTGTTCACGTGTAAGAATTGAAAAAAAGGAAAAAGGAGGGACCGGCAGATATAAAAGTAAGTGCTGATCTATCTGAGAATGAAAAAGCAGAGGTCAAGACACTGCTAGAGGATTTTTCAGATGTTTTATCAGATGTACCTGGTTTGACGAATCTCGGAGTTCATCATTTCAAGTTGACTAGTGACTGGCCTATTCGCATTAAGCCTAATCCTCTGCCGTTTACTTCAAAAGACGTTGTTTGTGACGAGGTAAAGAAGGAGGTGGAAGCCGATGCGATCGAGCCTTCGATGATTCCATACAGTTCCCCGATAGTCATCCTGAAAAAGAAGGACGGTTCGAACAGGTTTTGTTTCGATTTTCGTGCAATTAATAAAGTAATTGTTTTCGATGCAGAAACCATTCAAATGCTGATGATATTTATGTGCAATTATCTGGCTTTAAATATGTGTCCAAATTTGATCTATATAAGGGAAACTGGCAGCTACCATTGGATGATGCAGCAAAGATGATCACCGCTTTCCAAATGCCATTTGGTCTGTTTCAATTCAGGGTGATGCCCTTTGGCTTGATAAACGCTTCCGCAAGTTTCAGTCGCCTGATGCGTAAGCTTGTAGACGGAATGCAGTGTGTGGATAATTTTATAGACAATGTGATTGTGTACACTTGAACATTTCAGGAACACGTCAAGGTGATTCGGGAACTTCTGCAAAGACTTCGTGCGGCGAATTTGACTGAGAAACCAAGTAAGTGCTTAATTGGTTACCGGAGTCTTGAGTGTCTCGGACATATTTCAGGGGATGAAGAACTTAGACCTCTTCCTGACAAAGTTTCCGACATACGCAGTTATGATAAGGCTGTCCGAAGGCTTAAAATGCTTTAAAATATGCATTTTATTTTGAGCTAGATTTTAATTTCAATATGTAATCCTTGTTTGAAATTGCAGTCAACTTGATATAATAGTTTAATCAGATATTACAATAAAGCATTTTTGTGATGTCATATGACTGTATTGATCACATGGCGGAGATTTATATTACTAACTGTTACACAAAAATTGCTTCGGCACAAGTTCAAAAAAAAATATTGTGCAAAGTTGGTTATAAAGTCAATTCATAGTGATCTCTGGTACATAGAAAGTGCTGGGGGCAGGTTTAATTTTTAGCTGTTAAGAAAATCTTTTTTGAGAAATTCAACTCACCAAAATTAGAGGAGATATTTTCCACTCTTTATCGCTATTTATAGAAAAATGGATAAATACATACAGTCACCCAGCAAAAGTCAGTTAGAGGACATACTTCTCTTGTAGATTCACACCGCATATCTTGAATTTGTTTTTTGTTTATCACTTGTGCCAGTCTAATATAAACACGATCCTTAAATTCTAACTCTGTCTACGGACGTGTAGGGGGAGCGTTTCACACATAGTCTTTCTATAATGTTTGAATATGTGCATATCGGAAAAGCGAAAGGAATAGGGATATTGAGTTTACAATGTTCAACTTTATAAAAGCACATTGGAGTTTAAAAAAACTACCATATCACTTGAAATAAACAACAAGGCCCCAAAATAAATCTACATTCCATGTACAAATTATGACACTTTCCCCGTCATGTCAGCTCAAGTATGCAGTGACTTGACATCATATTCTATTATGACGTCATATCTTGGTAGTTCAGAGAAGATAGTACAGTCTGAACAGTTTGATATTTTACGGACAGCCTTATCCTAGCTGCGTTCACAACTTTACCCAACCTTCAACGACGAAGCAAGTACGATCATTTTTAGGTCCGGTAGGATACTATCGTAAATTCATTCCGTTTTTGCAGCTATTGCTTCACCTTTGACAGATCTTACCAAGAAAGGCCAGCCGAACAAGGTGATTTGGAAAGAACCGCAGCAAAATGCATTCATCACTCTCAAAAACGCTTTTACGGTATAACCAGTTCTCAAACTACCTGATTTAAATGAAAGATCTGTTGTACAGACTGATGCGTCAGATCGTGGTGTTGGGGCAGGGGTAAGTTTGATGCAGTACGAAGATGGTGTGAAGACACCTGTTGCATAAGCTAGCAAGAATATTTTCAAATGTCAGGTAAATTACTCTTCAATCGAAAAAGAGTGCTATGCAATAATCTGGACAATTCAAAAGTTCCGCAGGTATCTGTATGGTAAAGAATTCCTACTCGAGACAGATCATCAACCACTAGTATACCCTAAAATCATGAAAATAAGACGGATTTAATAATAAGCCGGTTTTGAAAATAAGCCACCTATTTCTTGCATTAAAACTTACTCGAAAATAAGCAAGTTTTGAAAAATAACCCGGTCATGACAATGCCATTAAGGAAAGATGTTAACGTTTGATGATTCCCTCATCTTAAAATTTGACAAATGAAAACTTTGACGATATTTATTTACAGTGCAAAATAAACTTTGACGATATTTATCTACTTTGAAAAATAAAAAAAAATTATCTTTCTTTAATTCATTTAACCTTTACCAATTTCCGCATACTACATAGTACGAACAAGTACGAGTAACGACTTCATAGTGCAAATTACGTCTGTAGCTACTAATGAACGCATGTAAAATTACTAAATAAAGGGTTGTTTATAAAAAAAATTTAACCAGTAATCATGTTACGCTGGCTATAAAAACTTAGTATCTCATCTAGACCTGTACAAGCTAACGAAGTGTTAAAAGGTGGTAATAATTAAAGAAGTGAATGGATACAGGTTTTTTTCTGGGTATAGTTACTCATCCATTTATTGTTCTATTTCTGGTGTAATGTACAAAGTTATGTACGTACGTAAGCTATTTTGTTTTGCCGCTTTTAAGTCGGTGTTGTAGGTTTAATAGTTAAAACCACTTTTGTTAAGATGTTATGCATTCCTAACGTTTTTCTTATTATAATAGTGTTCGGTTAGAATTACCTGTACTGTTTTGTATCATGTGCCATAGGTGCAACTGTAGTCAATGTTGACGTGTTATTTTTAGTATACGTAACTTGCGACTTAAAATATTATTTAATTTAAAGGTTCCAGAGATATTCCGGCCTTATTCTATCTGTAAGGACCATTTTGTGTGGACACGTAGTACCAGCGTTACCTGGGCTGGAAACCCACTGGGTGCCAGTTGGCGGGAGTCCGTCGTAAAACGGGAAGTGTCAGGACGCGGTCGCGTGGTACACTGGAATGGATATGGACATATAAAGACTTTAAGGGATATTTATTGTAGATAATTTTTTAAAAATATGTTGTAAATATGGTTTTATTGATTTTATTTATAGATACAAAATTGTAAATAGAAAAAAAATTGTTTTTACTGACTCAACAGAGCACGACGGCTGTCGTGACAATTGGTCAAAGTCCTTCTTGCGAAAGGTTTCATTAGCCATGTCCTGAGATGGAAGGTGTCATCACCCAAGATGAAATACGGGATGTTTCTGTTATCATTTGGTAGAGGGGCAGCTACTGGAAATCCAATATTATGATTTTCGATGACATCTTTTAATTCTGAGTTGTCAACACAGTAGCATCTGATGCAGAACGATTTGGACCTACATCAACCCAAATTAATTTATAATCAACATCAACAAGGCCCATAAGAATGATGGGATGGAACCTTTTGTAGTTGTAATAAAGTGAACCTTCGTTTCGGGGGCATTTGATAGCAATTTGCTTCCCATCCAAAACACAATGGTCCAGGTTCCATCTAATTCTGAACTGCTCAGCTAATTGTTGCCACTCATTTGTAGTTGTTGGACATGCAATTACTTTATCAGCATGTTCCACTATTATACTTTCACGAACCAGCAAGGAAATTGTATTATGTTAAACTCGAAATCCGTACATCAGACTTGTGTTTGATTCTATTGTTGCTAAATAGCGAAGTTTAATGGCCAACTTTAATCCAGGTTCCAAAGCCTTTCTGAACTTTGTGTCTTGTTTTTGTAATCTGGGACTCAATATGTCTACAAGCTCTCTAAACGTATCTGGCTCGATCAACTCTGAGAAAGATTTTAAATGACAATACATCCTATTTTCAAGTTCTTTCAGCAAGCGATCAAAATATCAATACTGAGTTCGTCTGGTGATCCGTGGTCTTATCCAGTATCTTCTTCTTTGCCTCTGTGGACGCCCGTTGTGTAATAAATGGGCAACTGCCTCGTCATTTTCTGCAATATCATGTTCAAGTTCCCCCATATTTTACAGCAGTTGAAGCCTCCGCACTGTAGCTACTGCCTAATTATACAACTTCCAAATTATGCTCGAGAATTTTAAGCATCTCTCTCTCTCTCTCTCTCTCTCTCTCTCTCTCTCTCTCTCTCTCTCTCTCTCTCTCTATATATATATATATATATATATATATATATATATGATGACCGTCAAGCGAAAACCAGGCTTAAGTAAAAAATTTGACATTTTGATTTTTTTAGTGATTCTAATAGAGAATTTTCTCCTCTTTCAAATGATATATAACATGTCATTGTTCATAGACTAGAAATAAGTGAAACTTTTCAAAAGAAAACTTACAAATTCTATGTCATGGCGCTGTGTTTTATCGGAAAAGATACGTGGATTGTAAAAACTGTACAAGCAAAAATCATCTCCGACTTCAAATGACATTACATATGTGATTTTTATTTAATTATTCGTTCTGTTTCCTTTTTTTGATTGATAATTCTAGCTTTATAAAAGAAACATCTGGTTTCCACCAACCCCCCTTAAAAATGAGATAGACACGATCAGATGTGGGATTTTTTGGGGGGGTGGGGTGGGGTGATGGTTTGTTGTGCCCTAAAGTCCCTTTATGTGCCATATGCTTATAAAATCTTGGTGGGATCTTAGATTCATTCGATACTATAGACTTTCATGTACACACCCACCCCAAACACAGAAAAAAAATATTAGATTGATGGATTGTATGCTTCTTTTGTTTCAGAGGTTTAATTCGCCATTTAAGGATCGAAAGTTATACAATATCAAGATCATGAAACATGTACGTCGAACTGACATATATGAAAAAAAAGTACATTGTAACTGTTAATTTATATTTTTTGTCGATTTAACTAAATGTGTAAGGCCACAGAAATGTTTTCTTTTTCTCATACATGTGCGATTTTGAATGTAGCTTTGTATGAATAAAAAATGAGGTCTGCTTAAAAGGGGCATTCTGTAAATAGCGATATTATTTTCCAGAGAGAGAGAGAGAGAGAGAGAGAGAGAGAGAGAGAGACAATATTTCACATACAAAGGTGTGTGCGTTAGTTTTTTAATCATGATTTTGTGCCGGAATTTATTTTTTTAACAGTTTTAGGATTACATCCTATTTCATCTTTCCATTAATAACATCGCAAAATGATCCTTAAAAAGCTACAACAACACTTTCTTATTGCAGATAACAACTTTATTGAAGAGACATTAAAGATGCATATTATACCTATCGCTGAAGTATAATTTTTACCCAGAAAAAGTTTTGGTACTGTATTTTACAGGAAACGGAATGGAAGCCCCCCCCCCCCCTTCTTATCTGCTGCAAATGTGCACTTTTCGTTCTTCGTGATGGATAGTAAACTTACATTTCTAGCAATCGATTTCTCTTTGTTTTTTATATTTTACGTATCAAAGGAAGTCAAACATCCACAACCTTCTACCAAGGTACAGAACTTGTGGAGGGAGGAAAGTTTTTGACTGAAAGCAAGACTTAGTATCCATGCATAATAAAGAAATATCTGTTTTATGAAAAGAATCAATTATTGTTGACTATAAAAATTAAAAATTATATATATATATATATATATATATATATATATATATATATATATATATATATATATATATATATATATATATATATATATATATATATATATATATATATATAAGAGATAAATAACAAGTTTACAAACTGCTATTTATCTGTTAATATATATATATATATATATATATATATATATATATATATATATATATATATATATATATATATATATATATATATATATATACACTCAAATCAAGTGTATTCATAAGAGCTCGTCACTGTTCGTGGGAATATCGTGTTTGCATGGTACAGACATGTAGGTATTGAGCATTGTTTAAAATCGTGTCTTATCATACAAATTCGTATAAGATCGTATTGCGTTCGTTCTTTCATGTCTTTGTTCGTATAGTACTTATCAAAACTCGTTCTGTTATCGTATAAGCCTTGTACATTGTTGAGCAGACATCGTAGTCGTATTGTGTCACACTGAAAAAAAACCCTCTGTCAGAAAAATGCTAGGCTAGCGTGCCGATTGTCAGGGATTTGTGTTTTTTTTTTGTAAGTCATGTGGAATCGTAGCAAAAATCGTGACAGTGTGACACAACCTTGAGGAGGCTTATTACACCACTTTTTGATGACGTACTTCACAAAAAATAAACCTCCATTGTGTAGACCGGTTTACTCTGGAGACAAGTTATACAGGTACCTCTAAAATATGACCCTGACCTTTAAAAATAGATGAAACATGCGGTGTTGTAAACAGTGAAAACAAAGTAACGGATTCATTATGCAAAAACAAAAGAAAAGAAGAGAAACAAAAGAAAACAACAGTCAAATCTTCGCAAAGCAAGTAATGTCAATTTCATAGCGATGCATGCAGTGAGCTTTATCAATCAATGACATGTTTGTATGGAGGAAATTCGAGTTAAAATCTACAACCTTGTTGAAATTTTAAAAAAGTTATTTACTTGCACTATTAACTGTGTTGGTGTTAATTTTTATATTTGTTTTATTGGTTTAAATGTATACTCTGGCAATTTATAGCTTTGTTCTGAATTTTAGATGTAATGTAATGTAATGATAATGTCAAACGTTCCATAGTGTTTTGAGTCTTGGGTAATTAGGAAAGATAACTCTTGAAAGTGGACTTTTTATACTAAATATTTTTTTAATTAGATTTTTCATTTTGTTTAAACATTCTTTATTCAATTTGACACATGTAATTCATTGAAATACATTCCTTGTCTCTTCAGAACTCATTTTCTTCATGTTTTATGCACATATTAAAAGGATTATGATATTAATTGTTTTCAAGGAGAAAATTATTTTTTGATAATAAAATTATTATTAGGTATTATGAGGTTATTTCACTGTGTGTACTTGTCTTAAGAAGATGCCATTAATTGACACTGAAAGTTCTGAAATTCTGTTACTAATAAACTCGAAAGGAATCATTTCACTAGAATTTGACAAAAACTAAAAAATTCTATAAGAAATATTTATGATATCAATACCCCAATCTGGATATTTGACATTTACATTATAAGTGGTGCTGTATTGAAATATACAAGCAAATTCAAAGAATTGTGGTCCCCCGCTTTCGGTGTCTTTGTGGGCGAGATATTATATTTTAGGGTCAAGGTCAAAAGGTCAAAGTTATTGGTATCCTATGAAAGGTATTGCCACAAAGAATACATATATTTAAAATATGAAAGTCCTAGTATCTACCGTCCAAAAGTTGTGACCAAGGTTAAAGTTTTTAAAAAAGGTTAAAACTCCAAGGTCAATGTCAAAGGGTCAAAGTTCTTGGTATGCAATGAAAGGTCTTATCAAAATAATTACATACGTGAAGTAGGGAAGCCCTAGCCCTTACCGTTTAAAAGTTATGGTCAAGGTTAAAGTTTATTCAGAAGTACGTAAATCTCCAAGGTCAAGGTCAAAAGGTTAAAGTTGTTGGTATCCAATGAAAGGTCTTGCCACAAAGAATACATATGTGAAATATAAAAGTCATTGTATATACAGTTCAAAATTTGTGACCAAGGTTATAATTTTTAAAAAGTATTTATAACGTCAAGGTCAGAAGGTCAAAGTTCTTGGTATCCAATGCAAGGTCTTCTTACAAGAATTACAAATGTGAATTATAAAAGTCATAGCCCCAACCGTTCAAAAATTATGGTCAAGGTTATAGTTTTTTCATAAGTACGTAAATTTCCAAGGTCAAGGTCAAAAGGTCAAAGTTGTTGGTATTCAATGAAATGTCTTGTCACAAAGAATACATATGTGGAATGTGAAAGTCTTAATATCTACCATTCAAAAGTTATGGCCAAAGTAAAAGTTTGGAATTTTTGCGTAAAAGTTGGTCAAACTCCAAGGTCAAGGTCAAAAGGTCAAATTTGATGGTACCCAAAGAAAGGTCTTATCACAAGGAATATACATATGAAATACGAAAATCATATCTCCACTAAATCAAAAGTTATGGGCAAGGTTAAAGTTTTTGTGACGGACGGACAGACTGACGGACGGACAGACGAACAGACGAATGAGATTTAATGTCCCCTCGCTTTCGCGAAAGCGGGGGACAAAAATAAACTGTGGATGTAATGAGCCCTTTTTAAGAAACATGTAAATTTCGTTTTGTAAGTTTATTGGAATGTTTTGTTTAATATGCATTTCGTTGGTTAACATGTTTTTTTAATCAAAATAAAATAAATAAAGCGCGACTTACATAATTAAAAGCGGAACGAACTAATTATTGCTGTTAATAAGTAATATAGTAAGTCGTACATTGATATG